AGTACAATGAAAATCCTTATTAAAAAAGTTCTTCTAAGCCCTAGTAATATCAGACTAGAGAACTAAACATACAAATATATTATGATAAGTATCTTTAGAAAATCACTTCATTATAAACTTTTTTGTGATCTAGTAAATAGCCCAAACCAACACTTGTTTTCCTAACTATAACACTAAATATATATTTTTAAACTTCTGCACAGCACATCTATTCATAGTCTATGACCACAGAAAAGTAGATTTATTTAACATAGCAGCCTATAGGTATTTTATTTGATAGTTATATTTGATAACATTATAATGTAAATTACGACATTTATATTTAGGAGTATTTTTTTCATTCCAAACCTATTTAATCCTCCAAAGAAATAATTCACCTTTTTGCTTTGTGATTACAAGTGGATACACATTCACTGTTAAAATTCAAACATTACAGAAATATTAAAAGTAGAAAATAAAATTCCCCTAATCATAATCTCTCATCCCTTGATAACCACCAATAATAATTGGGTATATAAGCCTATAGATTTTATTTTCTAATGCATATAATTTAGGCAAATTTTCACAAGAATTATGGTTTTGGGGGGAAATGAAGAGGGAAGCAGAAATGAGGAAAATTCTTTTGTAAATATGCTTGCTAATTATAAAAATATGTTTAAATGCTTAAAGGAGAATATAAAACTGCATATATCATATAAATCCATATTTTATCCATATACAAATATCCAAAAAATGACAATAGCCATCAGGAAATGAAAACAAAGACACAATTAGATACCACATCACACACACACTAGGAAGACTATAATAAAAAAGACAGGTTATAACAAGTGTTGGTGAAAATGTGGAGAAATCAGCCCTGGCTGGTGTAGCTCAGTGGACTGAGCACAGGCCTGCGAACCAGAGTATCGCGGTTCGATTACCAGTCAGGGCACATGCCTGGGTTGCAGGCCGGGTCCCCACTGGGGGACACATGAGAGGCAACCACACATTGATATTTCTTTCCCACTCTTTCTCCTTCCCTTCCCCTCTCTCTAAAAATAAATAAATATTAAAAAAAAAAGAAAATGTGGAGAAATCAGAACCTCATACAATGCTGGTAGGAATGCAAAACAATGCAGTCTTTTGAAAAACAGTTGGACAATTCCTCAAAATGTTAAACACAGAGTTACTATATGACCCAGTAATTCTACTCCTAGGTACACTCAAGAGAAAGAAGACACATATTTGCACAAAAATGTGTCCATGAATGGTAATTAGTGGCATTATACATGCTAGGCAAAAAGTGGAAACAACCCAAATATCCCTCAACTGACGAGTGGATAAATAAAATGTGGTATTACCCATAAAATGGAGTTTTATTTCATAATAAAAATAACGTAATGCTACAACATGCATGACTTTTGAAAACAGTATGCTAAATGAAGAAACCACAGTAACAAAAGACCGCATATTATATGATTTCACTTATATGAAATGTCTAGAAGAGGCAACTCTAGAGAGACAGAAAGTGGATTAATAGTTGCTTAAGGCTTGGAAGTTTGGAGAAAACAAGGAGCGACTTAATGGTGATGGGAGTTTCTTCATGGAGTTATAAAGATGTTCTAAAATTGATTGTGGTGATGGTCGCACAACTTAGTAAATATACTGAAACCACTGAACTGTACACATTGGGTGAATTGTATGGTATATGAATATTTCAGTAAAACTGTTAGAAAATAGTATCTATCATCTCTAGATGGTAAATACTAGTAATCTTATTTTATTATTTATATCTTTTTGTAACTTCCAAATTTTTGGCAATGACTAGGTCTTTTTTTGTATTCTCACTTGAATATATATTTATCCTAGAAAGAAAGCCAAGAGGGTGAGTAGGAGAGAGACAGACAGAGACTGATTGAGAGAAACATCGACTGGCTGCCTCCCATACACACCCTGATAGGAGATTGAACCCACAACCTAGGTATGTGCCCTGGGGATTGAATCAGCAAACTTTTGGTGTATGGGACAATACCAGCTGAATCATCCAGCCAGGGTTAGGTATTACCTTTAAGTCAATAGAAAAATTAATTATTTTTCAAAGTGGTGCTCATGAGAACTAGAGTAATACTATGTTAAGGGTACAGATGGAGTTGCCACTTGTATTCACTTGGTTATTTGTTCATTAAACACTTCCTATGTGCTCCAGAAATTGTCCCATCATGAGAAAACTTCCAATTCCAAATCAACAAATTATATCAACTTAACAAAAATAGGACTCCTCTGTTAACTTCAAAAGATAAATTATACATCATACCACCAATGAATTTGCTGTCTTAATTTTGCACCAAAGGTTATACTCAATTACATCAAGTCTCAGAAAATTCTTTCTTCATTAAAATAATTGTTTTCAAATTTTAAAACTCACTTTAATATTAAAAGTAAATCACTGCAACACTTCATAGTTTAATAGCAGAAAAGGTATAAAAATCGAATTAGTAACAAGGGGTAATAACTCAAAAACACTGAAAATCATTTAAGATATTTTGGCTGTCAGGTTAATCATTAAAACAATCTTTATGTAAACTGTTAGCAAGGAAAAAAATTAAAACAAAGTCAAAAGAATTCCTTAGAAATAGTTTGCTTTGCAGTTGAAAAGAACATATGGAAAAGGAGGAATAAGAGGTATATGCTCAAGCAACAGGTTACTTCAATGACATTTAGGAAAAACTTTTCAGCTAAAAATTAAATACCCAATCAGATTCTCCAAGGATAATAAAGTCAGAAGGTTTCAGGGAAGGAGCTTCATCAAATTTTTTTTATTATAAGAGCAAAACGGGCATCTACATTTTGAAAAATTTTACTGACTGTACTGATGTGCAGCCAGGGTTAAAGATTACTGCATGAAGGAATACTCCTCAAAGGAAACAACAGTGAAAAATCTGGTCTATAATTTGAAAATTAGAGACAATGAAGCAAATATATTAGGAAAAAAACTTGAGAGCAAGTAGACTATATATACTCATAATACTCCAAAAGTCTGGTGGAGAGATGTGAACTTGAACTAGGGAAGCAGAAGGCAAAATGGAAAGAGGCTAGATTCAAGAGCCAATCCATAAAGCAGAATCTATAGGACCTAATGACCAAATGGTTGTGGAGAATGAAGGAAAAACAGAAAGCAAAAGTTTCTAACTTCTCCAGGTTGAAATACCAGATGGCAAGTAATGCCATTAACCAATCAATGGAAGACAAAAGAGAAGCAGCTGTTTTGAAAGTTACTAGAGAAAAGGTTCAAGGAATTTAAATGTTAATTGTAATGCTCTACTGCTTAAGTTGGCTACTCAGTACACAGGTGTTCATTTTATTATCTTTTTTTAATAACAATCAAATAACAATATACAAAATTCACTTAGAAACAAGGAGGTCAAAACTTAAAAACACACTAGGAATCACTGCTTTTATACACTTTTGTATCTAAGATACCAGAAATAATGAAAAAAGAAATATTAGGAAGGTGGAGATAAGGAATTTGGTTTTGGATCTAGAGTATTTGTAGAACTAAAAAACTGTATCACTCAGAAATAGAAGGGAAAAAGATCTGGAAATGGTTGCCATACAAAGATAATGCCATGTAAACCATGAATGTAGATAAGAACTCTCCAGGAGAAGTTGTGGAAGACCATCTGGGTTATAGCAATGGCAAAGAGCCAACTAAAAGGAGAGAATCAGCTAAGACTGAGAATAATCAAAAGGACAGAAGCTTTTACTAATTCCTTTTCCCTCTCCAAAGGCATACTGAAGAAAATCAATTTTAAAAAGCTGCCATTTATTATTTTCTTACTGTATTTTAATGGCCAGAATTTCCAGAGAGCTGGAGTTAGAAGAGTAACCTGTTTGAAGGAGGGTTTGAAGATGCTTTTGCATAGTACTATATACGGTAAGAAAATACTAATTGTCCATATCAAAAAATCAAGGGAAAGAGGTTTCAGGGAAATACTTCTCCCCTTTGGGACCACTGCTGCTATACTGTAACCATTATCTCAAACGTGTTACCAAATCTTTCAATACTCTTATCTTTCTTTTTAAATTTTAATTAATAAGCTTTACCTTTAGAGCACTTTTAGGTTCTCAGTAAAATTGAGCAGAGAGTGCAGAGAGTTTCCAAATATACCCTGTCCCCACACAAGTACAAACTCATCTACTCTCAGCATCCTCTTATCTTTCATCCTCTTAATAAATGTATTAGGTGGATGGGGAAATGAGGTCTAGGCTGGAATTGCAACTTTGCTCAGTCAGGATCACAAATCACCTGTATTCCCACAATTCTTATGGCTCTCCGTCTTTACTAGGTTTTTCTCATTACTCATCTACGTGTACTGCACATTTACGTGCTTCTCTTTCACTGTACTGTTAGCTCTTCAATGATAGGATTGTGTCATTCACTTCCGTGTCCCTATAGCTAAGAAAAGGGAAATATTCTGTTGAATTAAGCATATGAAAAAACTAGGTGAGAAGTGCATCAAGAAAGCCAACAGGGGAAAGAGTTTCAAGAAATAAATGGGTAGTAGTTATCAAATGCTAGAGAACCCTCAGTACATCTTAAGTCATCGCTGACACTGAACTGATATTCCTTATTCATTGACTGAACGTCTATTATATACAGGACAATGTGTTAAGAACAACGAACTCGAAAATATAGAATCTGGTACACGTCAAAAGGTTTTCGGGGAAGCAGTCATATCAAAGTTCTTCATCAGGAGAGCAAATCAGAGAGTCAGGCCTACAATTGCCTACACATGTAATTTGGTTCGGAAATCTGAAGTCAATTTTAAAGGGTCATCTTCAATAAAAGTTAAAGGGGGCACGTGAAATGGAAAAGGGCCAGAGCACCTCAATGTCAGTGACAACAGCAGGTAGCCAGGAAAGCGGACTCGTTCTGGAGTCTGTAGCTCCCTAAGCAGGGCTGGCGCTGTCGCCAGCTGCCAGTCCGTAGTCTGGGGCGGGAAAAAGTAGACACTTACCTCAAAAGGCACAGCTACGGCCGTGGCCCAAAGGGGCCAGGGATTCCTTTGCGAGGCCCCACGCCGTGGGAGGAATCAGAGGAAAGCGGGGATCAGACAGACAGGTGCGACGCCACAGACCGACTTTCCAAACTATATAAACGAGGGTCCCAGAGTCCAGCACAGCTACGCCAACTCCCACCAGCTGGTAGACCGACGACTGCCACCGAACCTTCCGCCCAATGAGGAAACGTCACCACTCCGCGTAATTCAGCCTTTCAAGAAGAGGATGCACTTCCGCTTCCGGGGCACACACCACGTTCTTATTTACGAGGTGTTTCTTTGCTCCGAGTGGCTTTTGACATTCATTTTCTGTCTTTCAACAGTGCGGCAGCGAAGTTGTTAAGATAACATGACCTCAGGAAAGGACTACGGCCTCGAGGAGCCGTCTTAAGGAAAAGTGACTAAGCTGAGCGCTGCCAACTGAGGGAAATGATGAGAGCTAGGGTGCGTTCAAGTGGAGGGACTCCCCTTCGCGCTCTGGAGAACTCCAAGAGGAGGCGGGTCCTAGGGCATTCGCAGCTTGGGAGGCGGGTTCCACCCAGAGTCTGGTCAGGTGTCGCTATGCGTCTTTGTTTGCGCATGCGTAATGCGTACACCCCCCCCCCCCACGGACCGCTTTGTGCTACAACATGGAATTCCGCTCCGCACAGCAATCAGTACTGCAGCTGCTTCGTACCGTGACTCCAGCAGACCTCCCAGCGTTGCTCGAGTGGATGCGAACGACCCGTAAGCCACCAGAGCCAGAGGCAGGCTGTTGGGCAAAGATAATGGGCACTGTGGAGGCTTAGTGTGAGGTCATTTGCCTTCCATGAGTTCTCTACTCTGCTACTGGGCAGGTCGAAAGGGGCACGTCTCATCCTTAGGCAGGTTCACAGTCTCGGTCGGGATTGGGTACGCTAATATTAAGTGCACAGTTTGTGATTCCCCTGAAGACATCAGACAAGCCGCTAGAGGCTCCTTGTGCCTAACCTTTTAGTGAAGGGAGCGGCCGGGGGTGGGGGCGGGAATTAGCCTCCCTCTCCGCGTTACTCACACAAACTTGCGACGGACAGTAGGGAGCTACCTGAAAAAGCACTTTGCAAGAGAAGTTTTAAGCTATAGAACTGGAAGCTTTCACCCTACAGGCAAAATCACCTGTAGTTGGTGAGTTTATTTTCTGAATTGTAATGTAGATTTCATTTAATAAAATTTTTTTATGGGGTGGGGGGAGAACGATGGACAAGACTTTGATTCTAAACTGTTAACGAAATTAGTAACAGTAATGTTAAAAAGCACAAGTTAGAGTCTAGGAAATGTGATAATTAGGTTCAGTTACTGAACAATAGGACTGATCTAAGGCAAAGTGAAGCCTGGTCAAAGCATAAGAAAATAGGATATACAGTAGCTTGTTTGGAAAATATGTCAAACCATACTACACCTCTAAACTTTTTGCGTATTGATTCCCTTGTCTTTTCTCATCCAGACTCATGACTTGAAATATACCTGCTTGCTAATGATTCCCAGTTTTAGACTTCCAGCCCTTACTTCTTTGTGGAATTCTCAGTGTGATTTAGAGTCAATCAGTAGGTTTGGGTATTATTATTATTCTTACACATTTTGGGGGATCCTTTAGATAAGACGTCAAATGAAAATTAACTTGGACATGAGATAGTAAGGTTTTAGCCTGGACAGGTGAGAAAACCAGAGACTTAACTTCATATTTATACAGACTACAAGATTCAAGATAGGAATTTCCCAAACATGCTGAACCTTAATTTAAACCCTTTATTGCCACTTCTACATTCCTAAACACAAGATCTTTTATTTCAAAAGCCTTGAGTGACTACGAAAATGCCACCTACATTGAAAACACCATAGCGATCAAAATTTCAATTCTCTTTGGCCCTGGCTGGTGTAGCTCAGTGGATTGAGCGTGGGCCTGGGAACCAGACAATCACGGTTCTATTCCCAGTCAGGGCACATGCCGGGGTTACAAGCTGGTTCCCTGCAGGTCAGTTCCCAGCAGGGGACACCCAAAAGGCAACCATACATTGATGTTTCTCTCCCTCTCTCCTTCTCTTCCCCTCTAAAGATAAATAAAATCTTTTTTAAAAAAATTTCAGTTCTTTAGAGCCATCTGTAATCTAAATCTCCAGTTTTAGAGGCATCAAATGACACTCCATTTTTCAAGATCAGGAAAATTTCAAAGCATGTTTGGAAGATAATTTTGTAAATAAGAAGACCCAATTTAACTGGCTAAAAAAATACATTTTTTCTTTTTTAAGAAAGATTTTATTTGTTCATTTTTAGAGACGGGAAAGGAGGGAGAAGGAGAGGGAGGGAAACATTGACTTGAGAGAGAAACATCCATGTGAGAAACATCAATCAGTTGCCTCTTGTATGTGTCTTCTGACTGGACCAAACCTGAAACCAAGGCATGTGACCTGATGGGAATTGAACCCGTGACCTTTTGCTTTGGGGAATGAGGCCCAACCAACTGAGTGGGCCACATATTCACTGCTTTTCTCCTGCAGACCCTGTAGTCAGAGAAGTTCAAGCAGTTTGTGAAGAAATTTAGAACAGTAGCTGAGTTTCTAAAGAATGTTTAGTAACATGAATAAAATAATTTTTATTTTTAAAATATATTTTATGTACAATGTTATATTAGTTTCAGGTGTATAACCCAATGATTACACATTTACGTAACTTACAAAGCGATCACCTCGTTAAATCTAGTACCCACCCATCTGATACTATATATAGTTATTACAATATTATTATTATTTTTTAAGATTTTATTTATTTATTTTTAGACAGAGGAAAAGGGAGGGAGAAAGAGGGAGAGAAACATCAATGTGTGGTTGCCTCTCACTCATTCCCTACTGGGGATCTGGCCTGTAACCCATGCATGTGCCCTGATGGGGAATTGAACCAGTGACCCTTTGGTTCTCAGGCTGGTGCTCAATCCCCTGAGCCACACCAGCTAGGGCTTGTTATTACAGTATTATTGACTATATTCCCTATGCTGTACTTTCCATCCCCGTGACTGTTCTGCAAATACCAATTTGTTCCTATTAATCCCTTCACCATTTCACCTATATGCCCACCCCCCTTCCATCTGGCAACTGTCAAAATATTCTCTGTGTTTATGAGTGTGTTTCTGTCCTGCTTGTTCATTTATTTTGTTTTTTAAATTCCATGTATAGATGAAATCATATGGCATTTGTCTTTCTCTGGTTTATTTCACTCAGCAAAATACCTTCGAGATCCATCCATGTTGTTGCAGACAGCATGATATTCTTTTTCATAGCTGAGTCATAGTCCATTTTATATGTGTACTACATCTCCTTTATTCATTCATCTATCGATGGACACTTAGGTTGCTTCCATATGTTGGCTTCCATAGGTTGCTTCCATTATTGTAAATAATGCTGCAATGAACATACAATACAGATGTATACATATGTCTTTTCAATTTTGTGTTTTGGGTTTCTTTGGATAAGTACCCAGGAGTGGGATTCCTGGGTCCTTCTTTGCCTGTTGTTATAGCCTTTTTTTAAATATCTATTTTGTCTGGTATAAGTATTATTACCACAGCTTTTTATTTGTTTCCACTTTTATGAAAGATCATTTCCATCTTTTACTTTCAGGCTCTTTCAGTATGAAGCCTCTTGTAGACAGAATATGTAAGGGTCTTGTTTTGTTATCCATTCAGTTTTAATGTCTTTTAATTGAGTATTTAACCCATTTACATTTAAAGCAATTGTTGGAGACTCCCAGCTAAGATGGAGGCATAGGTGGAAACACTGTACCTCCTTATACAGCCTCCTTACACAACAAAGACTTGGAAACAAAAACAAAACCAGAGCACACAGAAAATTAAACTGTACCAAAGTCCGACAACAACAAACCATTCATCCAGACCGCTAAGAGGGGCGGAATTGGCGGCCAGAGGAGAGGGGTCCTGGCAGGAAAAGGTGGTGGTTGGCGACCCAGGCATGGGGAGGAAATAATCAAACCCAGTGAGGCATGCAAGGCAGTTGGCCGACTGGACACACATTCGCATGCTGATAAACCAGGCAAAAAAAAAATGGGCAGGGAGACAGACTGCACAACCCAGGGCCCCAGTGACAGGAAATAAAGTCTAAAAGCACCAATTGGAAACATTTGCAGGGGTTGAGGTGCTAGGAGGGGCTCCCAGCCTCACAGGAGAGTTTGTCGGAGAGACCGACGGGGTCCTAGAATGTACACAAGCCCACCCACCTGGGAACCAGTACCAGAAAGGCCCAGTTTGCTTGTGGGAAGTGGGAGAGTGGACCGAAATCAGAGAGAGAGAGAGAGAGAGAGAGCCACGTGAGCGCAGAGCAAGCACCATTGTTCCCTCTCTGACCCCACCCCCACATACAGCATCAGAACCCAGCACCTGGATTGCCCCGCCCTGAACACCTAAGCCTCCGCCCCTCATACATAACAGGCGATACCTAACCAAAAATGGCTCAATCAGAAGAGCAAATCAAAGCCCCAGAGCCAATACTTTTAAGTAACCAAGAGATAGCCAACCTATCAGATGCCCAGGTCAAAACACTAGTGATCAGGATGCTCACAGAACTGGTTGATTTTAGTCACAAATTAGATGAAAAAATGAAGGCTACAGTAAGCGAAATGAAGGAAAATGCACAGGGAACCAATAGTGATAGGAAGAAAACTGGGACTCAAATCAATTGAGTGGACCAGAAAGAAGAAATAAACAACCAAACAGAAAAGAAGGAAGAAACAAGAATTCAAAAAAAATGAGGACAGGCTTGGGAACCTCCAGGACATCTTTAAATGTTCCAACATTCAAATTATAGGGGTACCAGAAGGGGAAGAGGAAGAGCAACAAGTGGAAAACTTATTTGAACAAATAATAAAGGAGAACTTCCCTATCTGGCAAAGGAAATAGACTTCCAGGAAATCCAGGAAGCTCAGAGAGTCCCAAAGAAAGTGGACCCATGGAGGAACACACCAAGACACATCGTCATTACATTAGCCAAGATTAAAATGAAGGAGAGAATTCTAGAAGCAGCAAGAGATAAGGGGACAGTCACCTACAAAGGAGTTCCCATCAGGCTGTCAGCTGATTTCTCAAAAGAGACCTTACAAGCAAGAAGGGGCTGGGAAGAAGTATTCCAAGATATGAAATCCAAAGACCTACAACCAAGATTGCTCTATCCAGCAAAGCTTTCATTTAGAATGGAATGGCAAATAAAGTGCTGCTCAAATAAGGTCAAGTTAAAGGAGTTCATCATCACCCAGCCCTTATTATATAAAATGTTAAGAGGACTTATCTAAGAAGATAAAAAATATGAACAGTATAAAGACAGCAAACTCGCAGTTATTAACAACCACATCTAAAACAAAAGCAAACAACTAGAACAGGAACAGAACCACAGAAATGGAGATCACATGGAGGGTTAGCAATGGGAGTGGGAGGAGGAGAACTGGGGAGAAGGTATAGAGAATAAGTAGCATAGACAGGGAGGGCTAGAGTAGTGTGGAAAATGTAGAAGGTAAAGAACATATGACCCATGGACATAAACTAAAGTGGGGGAAGGTGGGTGGGAGGGGGTGTGCAGGGTGGAGGGGAATGAAAGGGGGGAAATGGGACAACTTTAATGGCATAACCAATAAAAGATATTAGAGAAATTAAAAATAAAACTTAAAAGTAATTGTTGATACATATGCAGTTATTGCCATTTCATTATTCATATTTTTTATCTTTTTTGTACTCCTTAAAGAAGTCCCTTTAATATTTCTTATAATACTGGTTTGGTGGTAATGAACTCCTTTAAGTTTTTTTTTTTTTTTTGCCTGGAAAGGTCTTTATCTTTCCTTTGATTCTAAATTTTAGCTTTGCTGCATAGAGTAATCCTGGTTGTAGGTCTTTGCTTTTCATTACTTTGAATGTTTCATGTCAGTTCCTTGTGGCCTGCAAAGTTTTTATTGAGAAATCCACTGACAGTCATATCGGAGTTCCCTTGTAGGTAGCTAACTGCTTTTCTCTTGCTGCTTTGAAGATGCTCTCTTTATATTTAACCTTTGGCATTTTAATTATGATATGTCTTGGAGTGGGCCTCTTTGCATCCATCTTGTTTGCAACTCTATGCTTCTTGGACTTGTATGTC